ATCTAAGCTTTTTATAGCAGGAGGATGGCTAAGGTGTGTAAGAATAATGGAAGAAATTCTGAAACATTATCTGTCAAAAATAATTTAGAAAAAAAGATAATAGTCAAACATTTGCTTTTATAAACAGAATTACTACTTTTACTAAATATAGAGGAAAGAGAGGTGTTTATTTTTCTCACTTGCCCATTTTCTGATGATTTCTTGCTGTCAGGTTATGCCAGTCATTTTGCATACTTAGGATATGATCACTGGGCTGGAGCCACAAGTTCATTCATTATGGATTAAACTAGAAACTTCAGGAACATTTACTTTCCATTGCAACTTAGATTTTAGCCACAGCTAAATCAGACTTCTTGTTCAGCTCACAATTATACATGAAATTTCTGTAGAGTTTGTCATCGGGAAAATTTCTTTGGAGTCTAGTAGCCAGTGTCTGAGCACTACCACAAGCCACAAGCCTTTTATTAACGTAAAGCTCCAGGTGTCTTCTTGACAGAAAATGCAATTCATTTTCAGTTGCTTAATTTCAGTTCTTCTTCAAAGGCAATTTTCTTCTGTAAGTATTTTTAAGTATTTAACGCTAATGGACAATTAGCCACATGAATGGTTTTAACACATTCCAGTTATCTTTTATGCAGATAATAACATAGTTTTCCTACTTTGAACTAATTTCTGGTTAATTTCTGTGTACAGTGAGTATGTCACCCTTGTTAATACTAATACATACTACTCAATTAGGATCATGTGTTCTGGAAACACTAAATAAATACAGCTTGAGCTTTGGCAATAATCTTACAAATAAAGATTCTTTTTGAAAGAGAAAGTTCTGCAAGCAGGTAAACGTTCAGCTATAAAGAAATTTTATAAAATGAATCATGTTTTTACACATAAAGAGAACTAATCCTGACCTTCAGAGTTAGTTTCATGTTGAAAAAGAGAAAGTCATACTAGACTGCACAGAGAGCACAAAAGTCTTACTAGAACAGAGAGCACAAAAGATTTTTTTTTATATAAAAAGTATGTGAAATAGTTTTAATAAAGGTAAGACATTAAAAACAGATAGACATACTTACTCCTTGTCCTTCTTTGTGATTTAGGCAAAGTTTCAAATGCTGAAACAGTTGGTAAATAGCAGTACAGAGCTTACTGAGAATTCAAAGATTCATGCTGAGGCACGACTAAATGACTGAGTGCTGTCTGAGCATTTTCTTGGCCGTGTATGATGTGTGTGATGTTATATTTTGGAAGAAAGCCCCAGGAAATTTTTTTTTTTTTTTTTTTTTTTTTATTTCTCCAAATGTCAGCTGTAGTAATTTTCAAGGCATGTGAAATATTTCATGCTCATTGTGAAATCATATAAGCCATATGCTGTGACTTTTGTCCTCCTGTGACCACTAAATAAAGCTTTCAAGTACAGGTCCTGGCAATTAAAAGTTCCTTTGTATGACTAACTATGTCCATAACAAAAACCAATTTTATCAGCAGCTCTGAACTGCCCTCTCAGTTGCAATGCACACAAAGACAAACTTTGAACTAGGTTTTAGTTGTGGTGGGAGTTCCTTCCTCTGCCTGCCTCAGGGAGGACCATGCCAAGGAAGTGGGCTTAAAGCAGAACTGGTATACAGGAAGGGGTGCTGAAACGTGGACTCACTAAACCCTGTGTCAGCCTTTCCACCAGTTTTAAAAAGCAATGTCTTTTGCAACCCACTACAGGTGTCTAAGGCATGAATTTCTGTGAACATTACTTCTCAGTAGTGCACCATAACTGCTGTATTTTCGTAGGTTTGCACCCACAAATTGTCTTCTTTTTATCTGATTACCTGCTGGGACCTTGTAGCTTGAGATTTGTTGTTTATAGATTATTTTTATCTTTCTCATTCTGATTGTCCTCTGATTAGAGCAATATTTTTCAAAAAATTGTATCTGATGCAAATCAGATTTTAAATATAAATGTCTCTCAAGTGTATCTGTGCAAACAATAGGATTTTTCAACTTCTTTTTAAAAACCAGTGAGAAATTATCAAGGGACTGGAATGTTATTTGCTTATATGAAAACATTCTTCCCATGGGCTACCTACCCAACACATGCTCCATCTCTCTGAATTCTTATTTGACTGTGTTTATTCTTGTTCAATAAGTGAGGTAAAATGATAAGCCATGCAAAACTGCATGGTGATATCTTCTTACGAACTTCCCTACCATCATGATAAACACTTTTTATTCATTAAAAAGATACTAAGTTAGAGTTATGCAAACACTTGTAAAACTGACAAATTTAAAAAATTGTCCTGGTTAATGCCACCAAAGTAGAGGAAACTCTAAAGAACACAACATTTAATTTGAAGATTGAAAATGAGTAAATACTTCTTGCATTTAAATAACATTCTATTTAAACATTTACTTATTTTATTAAACAGATGAAACAGTATAAAAAAATACATCTCAAATGAAGCTATATGCTTCGCTTCTGTCAAGACAATTTTTTTTAATATCTTGTTCAAAACATGTGTTTTGGCGAAGACCTGAAACACAACATTTTTTTAATTACGTGTTACCTAAGGAATCTTAGTAAACTACAGGAGATCAATCTCTAACCAACACTTCGCATGCTGATTCATTAAGGTAAGTGCAATACAACAGGAGATCTTCGTCACAGACTTTCCAAAGCTTCCTCTTTGCTTACGCTAGTCCATTTCTGTGTTTAAGTTATTTTTTCCATAAAGAAGAACATTTGAGCAATAACAAGAAGTCTGGAATTCATCCTTGCTTGGACATGAATCTCCAGGAGCTGCCAACATTCACATTCACTCGCAGACTCTGAATAGAAAACTGCAGCTGTGTCTAAAATTTATATGATAACACTCTTACAAAACTCATCACTTCAAAACGGGATCAAAATATTGGTTTGCAAATCCAACTCCTCTTTCTAAATCTAGATTCTTATTTTCTGTTGTTTTTCATTGTCATATTTAGAACTTTTTTCAGTACTGGGGAGATTAAGAATTGGGAGTCTATATCTTTGGTGGAAATAGTGAAATGAATAGGCACTGCTATAGCTCCAGCTCTTAAACAACTTAGAATGAGTCTACGTAAGAAGCTGTAACTTTATACAAAAAGGGG